CCCAGCACGCCCCTGCGGGCGGTTTATCCTTCAAGCTCGGGTCCTCTACCAGAGGCCTGGGAGCTTGAGGGTCCTGCGCAGTATCTTAGCTGTTCCCAGGACTGCGCTCTTCTGGACAGAGATCTCCGATGTTATTCCCGGGATCTGCTGGAGCCACTCGCCTAGCTTGGGAGTCACCGCACCTAGTGCTCCGATTACCACGGGGACCACCGTTACCTTCACCCTCCACATCCTCTCGAGCTCTTCTCTGAGCCCTTGGTATTTCTCCAGCTTCTCGTGTTCCTTCTTCCTGATATTGCTGTCATTCGGAACCGCTACATCGATCACTACGGCCGTCTTCTTCTGTTTGTCTACCACCACTATGTCCGGTTGGTTAGCCACCACCATTTTGTCCGTCTGTATCTGGAAGTCCCACAGGATCTTAGCTCGGTCATTCTCCACCACCCTTGGGGGCATCTCCCATTTTGACCTCGGGACTTCCAGGTTATACTCGGCACAGATGTTCCTGTACACTATGCCGGCCACTTGGTTATGGCGTTCCATGTATGCCTGGCCTGCTAGCATCTTGCACCCTGCTGTTATGTGCTGGATTGTCTCTGGGGCATCTTTACACAGCCTGCACCTGGGGTCTTGCCTGGTGTGATAGACCCCAGCCTCTATGGATCTTGTGCTCAGAGCTTGTTCTTGTGCTGCCATGATTAGTGCCTCTGTGCTGTCTTTCAGTCCAGCTTTGTCCAGCCACTGGTAGGATTTCTGGATATCAGCCACCTCCTCTATCTGCCGATGGTACATACCGTGCAGGGGCCTGTCCTTCCATGATGGTTCCTCGTCTCCCTCCTCTTTCTTGGGTTTCTGCTGCCTGAGGTATTCACTGAGCACTCGGTCAGTTGGGGCCATCTTCCCAATGTATTCTTGGATGTTCGTTGTCTCATCCTGGACTGTGGTGCTGACACTCACCAGTCCTCGGCCCCCTTCCTTCCGCTTAGCGTACAGCCTCAGGGTGCTGGACTTGGGGTGAAACCCTCCATGCATGGTAAGGAGCTTTCTTGTCTTTATGTCAGTGGCTTCTATCTCCTCCTTTGGCCAGCCTATTACCCCAGCAGGGTACCTGATCACGGGCAGGGCGTACGTGTTGATGGCCCGGATCTTGTTCTTACCATTCAGCTGACTCCTCAGGACTTGCCTGACCCTCTGCAGGTACTTGGTGGTTGCAGCTTTTCTAGCGGCCTCTTCATGGTTCCCATTCGCCTGCGGGATCCCCAAGTACTTGTAACTGTCCTCTATGTCTGCAATGTTGCCTTCTGGTAGTTCAATCCCCTCAGTTCTGACTACCTTCCCTCTCTTTGTTACCATCCGGCTACACTTCTCCAGTCCGAACGACATTCCAATGTCATTGCTGTATAGCCTGGTAGTGTGGATCAGTGAATCGATGTCTCGTTCACTCTTGGCATACAGCTTGATGTCATCCATGTACAGGAGGTGGCTGACAACTGCTCCGTTCCGTAGTCGGTATCCGTAGCCAGTCTTGTTAATGATCTCACTGAGGGGGTTCAGGCCTATGCAGAACAGCAGTGGGGACAGAGCATCTCCTTGGTAGATCCCGCACTTGATGGTGACTTGTGCTATGGGCTTGGAGTTGGCCTCTAGTGTTGTACGCCACATCCCCATTGAGTTCCTGATGAAGGCTCTTAGGGTCCCATTGATCTTGTACAATTCTAGGCATTCCAGTATCCAGCTGTGGGGCATTGAGTCATAGGCCTTCTTGTAATCAATCCAGGCAGTGTGTGTGTATATATATACATATCTATATATATATATATATATACATATCTATATATATATATATAAATATATATATTATATATTATATAATATAATATCTATTATATATATATATATATATATATATATATATATATAGATATATATATATATTCTGTCAAGACATCCTTTTTTTTCTCCTCTCAAATCTGTAGGTTTTTTTTACATCAGCCTGCACGATCAGTACATCTGCTTCCTCTCTTCTGTATATACCACAGGGCATGGTGACTAGTCATACCCATTGCAAACAAGAGTAAAGTACCCTTATACTATCGGTAGAATGCAGCTAGACTATATGTTATATATTCAGCATGAACGTTATATATGTTTTTATGCCTTTACCCCCTCTATGTCTTAATGACTAGTTATTTAAAAAAAAAAACCTTGGGATGTCTCAGTTTGGCAGTAGCTGTTCTTAGTCACGAGTGGGGTTATGGCTCCACTGAGAGGGATTGGTTTACTGTTACTGTTTTAACACCTACAGTGCCTTGAAAAAGTTTCCATACCACTTAAACTTTTACACATTATACACATACAGTGCTGTTCAAAACATTTTTTGAGCATGCAATTTATTGAAAACAATGCTTAACCTGAAACACATACATACATATACAGCTGATCAAAAGTTTAGGACCACACCTCCAAAAAAAAAAAAACCCATAAACGCCCCCAAAACAAAGATCAAAATTCCAAACAAGAACAAGTAATGAGTAGCACCACCGTTATTGTTGATCACTTCACAAATTCTTTGCAGCATGTTTGATGCAAACGTTTCCACGAGGTGAGTGGGAACATTTCTTCAAGTGGTGAAGACGCAGGATGGTCCAAAAGAGTGATGTTATTCTCCTAGAAAAAGTCCCATGTTCCATAAATCACACACAGACAAAGTCCACCTTTCCAAATATTTATGAAGAAATGGCTGAGTGCTGCTGTTACTGCTGGTTTGAACAGCTGCCTCACAGCAAAAAGGTTCTGGGTTCAAATACACTATCTGGCCTTTGTGTGTGGGTTCTCTTTGGCTACTCTGGCTTCCTCCCACAGTCCAATGACATGCAATTACCAGGTTAGGTTAGCTGGTGATTCTAAATAGGTGTGAATGTGAGTGCGAATAGTTCTCTGGCTCTGTGTTAGCCCTGCAACCGGTACCCAGAATCTAGCTCTATGGGCTCAAACCTCCGCGTAACCCTCATTTAGATAAGAAGAAGAAAATGGGTGGATAAGTGAATTACCGACTCAATAACTGGAAAGATACAAACTTACAAAAACTGTGTGCTAGGAAGTGCCAGAAAGTGATTGGGTCTATTGACCTAAAGACCTATTGTGCCAGTATCCCAATGACTCTTTGGCTACGTTCACACTCCACGCGAAAGCGCGTCAAATTTTTTTGACCCTATGCGCCCCATATCCAATCATGGTATGACAATGTGAAAAGCACAAATCTGATATTTTCAAATCCAATATGGGTCACTTTCGTATGTGGTATTGAATCCAATACACATCTGATGTTTTAGAAAGCGACTGCTGTTTGAATGGTCATGTCGTATGAAATCCGTCTTTTACGTCACTGACACGAGGCAGACGCCAATTATCAGTGCCCGAGAAGACATCGTGAACGCTTCCTGGACATCCAGAAACGTGGAGAAACGTGAACATTTTATTTGTACTGTATAATCTGCAGATTCTGACCGAAATCTGCAACTATCCTTTGAAGCACTGCTCTTCTCTAAAACAGCAATAATGATAATTATTAAGCCATATGTAAATAACAAAATAGCTTTACAACTTAAAGCAAAATTGGGAAACGTAAAGTTCGAAACAAGTCTCTATATTAAGGGCCATCAGTCAAACAATATTTTTTGGTCTGGATCTAAACAGAGCACGTTGTGTGTGACGTGCTGCTTTAAGAGTTCACACTAGAGTGCGTTTGCTGTCACATTTTATTTGTAGTGTGAACAAGCAGACAAAAAAATTGGATTTGATCAAAAAATTGGAATTGAGCATTAAGACCTGCAGTGTGAACGTAGCCTTTCTTGTGTTTTTGAGAATATCGACTGAGAACATGCCATTTTCACGCTGCCAAAAAGTGATTGTGGCCTATAACTTGTCACTGAAACAATTTTTATGCTTCAGACTTGCTAGATTTCATTCAGAAGGGTTATATGTGACACATTATACTGCAAACTTCAAGCTAGCCTTCATTGGACAGTGCATAGAAACTCAAATGTCCAAAACCTTGTAGTTCAGAAAATAATCAAAAAGGAGTAATGGCCTGATGTAAACAGGTGGTAAGAAGCTAGACTTTCTGCTGAAAAGTTCTCTTATGATCCTCTATAGCCTTGGTGGTGGGACCTTCCGTGTGCTGCGATTATTTATGCACCCATGGTTTGAGCTGCACCATAGTATGAGTAAATGGGTGACGGTGAGCTGCACATATCAGTTGATATCAGTGATTTTCTGGGCCTGGACTTAGTACATCCATACAATTCCTGTGAAATGGTCAGAATCTGTTCTGGATTGTCTTTTCCACTTAAGGCTGATACTCAGTGGCAACTAGTAGTGATATATATGAGTGAGAGAAAGTGAGACATTTCACAATTTTGTCAGATAAATGCTTCAAATCTACAATCCATTGTTAGGTCCAAGCTGCGTCTCCTCCAAAAAGCAGACATTGGAAACAGTAAAGGGAATGCCTACTTACACTTGCCATTAGCCAGTCCTTTCATGAAAACACGCAACACAAAATTTACGATTCAGTCATTTTTCCCCCACTGTGCTATTTGAACATCATTTGTTCAAATAAGGATGGGTAGGGCTTAGCCAATTTCATACCAGCCACCTCTGCTGATACTTATTCTCTTCCCTAGGCTCCCTGTCTAGATGGTCATAAATAAAAAGCGCTTGTTCAGCTGGCGAAAGATGTCGTGCCCTTAACAAGTCTGAACCCTTATCCACCCACTCAACAATACTTACAGCAGTCTTACCCGTGAACTGCCTGCATTTCACCTTGCATGCTCTCCTGTCACACCAGCCCTCTACATGTCCTCTTTCACTACCTTCATCCTCATAATAGATCACCCAGTTGAAAAGGTCTCTTATGTTCTTTGATTTTGAGCATTTCAAAAACTTTTCCAGCCTTCTTGATGCATCTGTAGACACTTTAGAAACTTGATAGCATTAAATTCAATCTTGTCATTTTTTTTAATTTCAACATTTGATTAGTTGTTTTGTACTATTTTACATCCAAAAACAACTTGTCCTTCCATATGCTGCTCCCATCTTGTTCTCAGGTTAGCCAGTCTTCTCAGTCTCAATATTTTACTAGTCGCCAGGGTTGGCCCACTGCTCACTTTAACAGTTATAGTATCGGATGGAAATTTGTTGATACAGTTGGCCTAGCATACAAGTAGCCATACTAGTAAGGATTGTAACACTGAATGTATGAGATAATAAAAATACAAATGTCTAACATCTAACATTTGGCAGTTTTAATACACAATACAAACAACTGAAAAGAGGCAGCAGAATTGTATTTACAAGATATCCGAGGTAACAGATGCAGACTTTTTAATACGAAAACACTACTGTGTCTGAAAAAAAAGAGTGTGTATGTGATTTACATCTCATATGAGATTATTTTTCATAACAGAATGCAGAGTCAGGATTTTTAAAACTCATTTACTCAGGTAACTCCGTCGCCACTTAATCTGTGCTATTTTACAATAAATCAAAAAAATAATGACACAATAATTATGTACATGTTGACTTGCAAGTACCCACAAGCATTCACAAAATTTACAAATTCAGCCCTTTAAGTGCATGTTTGCATTAATGTGGTGCACTGAATCTGATTGACACTGTAGATTTATTTGATTTCCAAGTTGAGATATATTAAATCCAGTTACTGTCAAAAACAAAAAGTATTCAAAATTTTTCTGTTCTCTTCTGAATTCACAGGACATTTGTGAAAAAACAAAACAAAAACTATATATCAACTGCGAGTGTGTGCAGACACTGTTTACTTGTTTGTTTTCACCAAATGGACCAAATCAGAAAGCTTCGAGGATCAGTGGAAACTGGAATTTGAGGGTTTTTTTCTTTTGTTTTCAACATTTTTTCTTTTACTTTTCAGTAAAAAGAAAGAAAGAAAGAAAGAAAGAAAGAAAGACGAACAAAACAACCTGTGCAGATCGTACAATCTGCTGAAGTAAACAGAATTCCCTTGTTGACTCACACTACGGACGTCTCTGTCAATGGCAACACAGAAGACAAACAAGTAATAATTTAATTGAGGATAAACAGTGTGCTGCAGACGACGTCAGAACTAATCGTGAATATTTAGTAAAACTGAAAACAAAAACTGAATCCCGTCAAAAAGGGGAAAATGCATAACTTCAACTGCACAAGTACAGCTGACACATTGTGCAACATATAAACGTTGCCCCATTAAAGACACTTGCATTATTGCCTATTCAAGCCACATGAACACATTTTCTGAATGTGTAAACAGCACAGGTTTTAACAGCAATGACCAAATCAAGTGGGCTTTCTCAAAATTATGACTAAACCTTAAGAGTCCTCCTCCCTCCTGCTCTCCATAGGAGTGCAACATCACAAAGGGTCACTCTGAATGAGCTCATATATCCACGTCATCTGAATCATAGGAGCTGGATGACTTTGACTCCTCCTGGGAATCTCCCCAAACAAATCTGTAGTTGTTCTCCAACTCCTGCTGCCTTTTCTCCTCTTTATAAACCTCTTCAGTGCCTCCAGTCTGGTGGTGGTGGGAGGGGGGGGGGGAGTAAAAACAGGAATGGGTTAAAAACTAAAACAACAAATCTAATCCACTTTGCTGCTAGAAGATTCATCAAATCTTGTGCTAACACTCAGCTGCCAATCAAAATTCAGCAAGGTGATTCCTACAGAGCAGGATGAAAAATATAAAAGTCCTCTACTGTCTAATTTACCATGAAGATAATAAGAATAAGACCAAAAAAATGAAATTGCACATTTTAGAGTGTAGGATCTTCTGTTACATAAAGATGACATAGAAATCTGTACCATGAAGTTCAAACATGTAACCACAGTGCTCGTGGAAGCTTATAAGAGCACCTTTCCTGAGCCCTCAGTCACACAGGTCTAGAGACCAGTTGGCAACTACTGTATCTGGCAATAACTGGTCGCAAAGGAAACTGTACCTACCAACGAATTGAGTAACTAGCCAGCAGCTCTTAATAGTGATGGAAATAGTTGCTTTTGGGTAGTGTGGCAGGAAATTGCACACACTATATTGCAAAGACAGAGGGGGGACGGGAATTCACTTAACATAAACAAATCTTATACTACAATAACTGTTTATTTTGAATCTCTTTGTCAGCCAGTAAAAGAAGCAGAAGTGAAAGCTGGCTCCACTTCAACATACACCAGGAAAAAGAGACGATGTAGCAGTCATGAGGGTCTGCTGTGAAAGTGACATTGACCTTTTCACCTGGTGACAAGGACATTTTGTTCCTTCTTTTCTTTAATACTGCGTCCACAAATTCTGTTGAATTGTGCTTACTGACATCTCAACTGATGCCCCCAGCCTGAATAAACTTTAAATGTGTCATAACTACAATCCAATGAGCTTTTGGTTTCTGTAATTAATTTCTGTGAAAGCAGACAAACACACAAGAACAGCAGGCCGCTCTGTTCTTTCTTGCAGACAGGAAAACACTCAGCAAACTGTACAGCGCTTCCGTCAGACACAGTCCAAGCCTGCAAGCAACAGCTAGAAGCATTCAAAGGAACCCAATAGAAGTACTACTTCAGTTACCAGGAGATTAATGAGTAGCTCCCTGAAGGACTTTGTATCTTCCTCAGTCAGCCACTGATCACCTGCCTCTTCTGCGTTTTTTCGTGTCAAGATCTTCACTTCGATTTTTCCTAACAACAAAGAAAAACAGACGGAAGACAAAAAAGGTTCAGCAGTTACGCCTAACACATCCAAATGGCGTAAGAAAACTGCTGAACAAGTCAACAATGACAACGGGATGATTGACATGAATGACACAAACATATGAGTGGAAAAACACAGCACACCTGGCTGAGATATGTTCTTTGATTAAGGTGAGCTTTAAGCTTGCTATTATTTTTTTCCTTACATGAAAACAGATTTTTCAAAATCTTCTCTTTTTAACTCATTAGACAGGTTTTTATTTTACATAGGATACGAAGAGAAATACAGTGCTGTACACTGAAGATAACAGATGGAAGAGAGAAAAGGCCGTGAGTGTTTCGGGCACTCTCCCTTCATACCTTCGGCCTTCAGTCCTGCCTTCTCTAGCTGTTCTTTAACCACGTCCTTTATGTGCTGCCACTGCGGGTCTCCTTCGCCCACCTCCTGAACTTTCACCTCCCCATCAGGGTTGATACCCGTCTTATACTTAGTTATTTTGATCTTAACATGGTCGTCAGCTGCTTGGTCTAGGGTGACGAGACAAAAGAGGGACAAACAAGACAGTTCACCTCAAAACCCACCAGTAGGGCCACGAGATGAAGGAGGCAAGAGCCTCGCATAGCATTGTGTTATGAACATAGATTAAAATACTGTGTCTGATTTCAGAAATTTTAATTTAGATTTAGATTAATGCAATCAAAAGTCACCCACGGTGACATTAATGGCTGGAGAAGAAAGACTGCAACTGACCGAAAGTGATCTGATAACATAAATTCTCTGAATTCTTCAAATTCCATGTGTGGATCTTTCCTGAGATGGAGGATGTCATAACACATCTACTGCACGGACTGATGAATTATGAAGATGATTATACACAGAGGGTGTGGACATGCACATGACTACAAAAGGGTCAAGCCCCCTGGTTACCTGGGTGCTTCGGAGCCAGGCTGGGGCTCCCCCGGGCTGGGTCGCTGGCTCTTTGGCCTCCGGACGTTTTCTGCTCTGGGTCCTGAACGTCTTTCTCCTCCAAATGATCGAGTATCTTATCCAGCGTCGTCTCCAGTGTCTGTGTTGCCTGAGTGCGGTCAAACTCCCCTTTCAGACCCTCTGTCTCGAGTTCCTGTTGAGCCTACAACACAGATAGAGCCAAGCAACGCCTAAAGTTAGTATTTAGTTTGGTCTTTTCCTTGTTACGTATCTGTCTAATCAAATTTTAGGTATTTTAGGTATCAACTTATATATATATAGTCTTAAACCTCGTTTATGATGTTGTCAAACTCCTTCTGCATTTCCTCCTTTATCTCTTCGATTTTATCCGAAGGCACAGAGAGGTCAGCCATCTCATCCTCAAACTCCTGTAGCACGGGGTCCTCTTCATCTTTCTCCTCCTCGTCAAGTTTCTCCGTTACTCTGTTGTGTCGTGCTGTCTCTTCTCTACTTTTGGCTTGATCTTGTGCTTTCTAAAAATAAAAACAAAACAGAAAAGGATTGGAAAGCCTATGCACTGCCAAGAGAAAAAAGGCAGTCATTTGCTGTCACTAACAACAGCAAATACTGACCTTCCTGTTACTCTCCTTAAGGTGCTGGACAAATTTCATCAGGTCTGCTGGGTCAGTGATGATTTTAAAGTTGAATTTTTCTACTAAAAAAGAAGAATATCAGAGAAGAAAAAGCTCCAGCTTGTATTTGCTTTGTTTTCTTTCTTTTTTTTTTTAAATAAGCTGTGCACTAAAACAGCACTATCTTTCTCAGTACCTTCATCACCATCATCTATGATTTCATTGTCTGCATGTGAGGTATGGCCACCATCTGCTGCCTGTCAGAAAGAGGAAAAATCAGGTTAGAGGGAGGAAATGGTGACAGAAAGCATCTGACTGCCCCTCTAGTGGTTAAAAAAGCCAGATCGCACTGTCAAAAATACCTGGAAATTCAGTATTATACGATATACACAGTACTACATTTAATAATAATCAAAAGTGTAAGTAACAGTAGAATGATAATCAGAAGATGTCAAAACTGTACCAAAATGAACATGTCATTGGACCTTGCAGAGCCAATTACAAATGTATTTTTATGGCTACATTTCAATTTGAGTTACTCACTGTTGTGTGTTTCTACCAAGAAGACAGACTGTTGCATCCAGAATTGAATTCAAAATCCTGCTCCTCACATACAAGGTCTTAAATAATCAGGCCCCATCTTATCTTAATGACCTTGTAGTACCATATCACCCTATTAGAGCACTTCGCTCTCGCTCTGCAGGCCTACTTGTTGTTCCTAGAGTATTTAAAAGTAGAATGGGAGGGAGAGCCTTCAGTTTTCAGGCCCCTCTTCTGTGGAACCAGCTTCCAGTTTGGATTCGGGAGACAGACACTATCTCTACTTTAAAGATTAGGCTTAAAACTTTCCTTTTTGGTAAAGCATATAGTTAAGGCTGGACCAGGTGACCCTGAATCCTCCCTTAGTTATGCTGCAATAGACGTAGGCTGCCGGGGATTCCCATGATGCATTGAGTTTTTCCTTTCCAGTCACCTTTCTCACTCACTATGTATTAACAGACCTCTCTGCATTGAATCATATCTGTTATTAACCTCTGTCTCTCTTCCACAGCATGTCTTTTATCCTGTCTTCCTTCTCTCATCCCAACCGGTCGCAGCAGATGGCTGCCACTCCCTGAGCCTGGTTCTGCCGGAGGTTTCTTCCTGTTAAAAAGGAGTTTTTCCTTCCCACTGTTGCCAAAGTGCTTGCTCATGGGGGGTCATATGATTGTTGGGCTTTTCTCTGTATCTACTGTACAATGTAAAGCGCCTTGAGGCGACTTTTGTTGTGATTTGGCGCTATTCAAATAAAATTGAATTGCACTTGCTATACCTGATTCTCCTGTTGGAAAGTAGATGTTCTTGAACTTGCTGGCTTTGTCACTCCCTCCCAGAAGTCAGAGTCTTCTGCCTCATCTGACTCTCCATCTTTTGATACATCAGCAGGACCTGTTTCAAAACCAGAAATAGACACTCGTGTTAGAATCAGAATTAATACACAAACGCCCATTATGGATGGATCGGCACTTTATTATTAGGTGCACTGACAAGTTACTACTGCGGGGTCGTTTGCCTCATAAGCATCAAAAAAACTCACCTTTTCTACGACTGATAGGCGATGTCTCCTCTGCTGTTACCTTTACTGCACCATCTCCTCCTTCATTACCAGCTAACATCTCATCAAGACTCCTCAATTCCTCCGAGATCTGCTCCACTTTACGTTTTGTGTCCGCTGGGAACGGAAACAGGATGATTGGCAGAGGAATCAACCACAAGACAAAGGAGAGAGCAAGCTTGAAGTTTGAAAGCCAAGTTAGCTTCTTAGCTGGTATTTTTATTAAAAAGACCACAATCTGTTTTAAAATGCGAAAAATAAAAAAAAATCAAGAGGCCTCCAAGATGCATTGCTTTGCCCTTCAATGTTTTTTTATTCACTCACAGACTTGTGCCTTGACGTAATCCATGTACTGTTGGGCACTTAGTGCTGGCTGGCACACAATGCCCTGAGGCTTGGCAGTGGATGGTGGCCGCAGGAATGGGTGCTGGCAGGTGCGACTGGTGTGAATTGTCAGCACATATCGACATGACTGAGGTTCATCTACTCGCGCAATGTAGTCACCTGAGCCTTCTTCACATACAAACTGGAAACAAAACAGAGCAAAAGTATGCAAACTACTTTGAGCTGAATTAAATGCCCAACTGTTTGGGCGCTGCTGGGTTGCAACATATTTGGTTCTTTTTTCTTTTCTTTTTTTAGGTGAAAATGTTTAAATACAGTAAATAAACAGGGAATTCATCAACTGTTACAAATGCCAAAACACAGACAGATCAGTATAACCAACAGTGGCCAATCTCTGCTTTATTCATGTCTTAACAAGTGCTTACGACTGCCAATACCTTGGTGACTGAGAATTTACAGAGAACCTTTTTCCTGTTTGTGAAATGTTTCCTGTGTGACTAACACACACAACTGACAACTCAAATACTTTGACTCTACTCTCTTAAGGTTTCCTTCTGATCACTCTTCCACAGACCCCGATCATTTTCAGATCTTTAGTGAGTTCCTAAGAGGATTCCAGAGTTATTAAGTTTCACTACAACATCTGTGTAATCAGAGAATCATCATCTTCTGATAAACTTAATCTCCTGTAGAAGGGCTAAAGAGTCGACTAATGCCGTATCTCTAAACAAACAGCTGTATATGAATATCTGGGGACCGGGAAGCTTTCTGGATTTTATTTCTTCTCCTCTTTTAGTTCTTGTTCTAATAATCAGTCTCATCTGAGTGTGCAGTTAAGTCCCCATGTGAACAAAGCACTTGCCTAAATTAATCTCAAAACCATTAGTTTTCAGATGGCAATTTGTCTTAATTAGTTTGGGGGTTTAGGGTTGTTTAGCACTAAAAAACTGGCTGCTCCATGAGATTAAGACAGCTGACTAGATGACGGGTTCCTTCATTTAATAAGGTCAAACAGGTTTAGTTTTTGGACCCAATAAAGTATCAGGATGAGCAAAATACTTCACATGCCAAACTTTGCGTTTGGCATGTGAAGTATTTTTAGCTCTTTTAAGTACACAAAAAGCATGCTGTCATAATCTGAACTAATGTCTAAGTCACAGTTTTAATTTTTCCAGAAAAACTAGCCAGCGTCTCCCACCTGACCTCCCTCAAAACTATTCATAAATATTTCTACACAGAAGGAATCGCAAAGATGACTCTGGCATTAAAGTGGAGGTAAAAATGGAGACAGTTAAGATGCTATAACTTGTTTTGACTAGACTACACTACAACAAAGAACAATAATAATTTCTTTAAAAATTAAAACTCAGCTGAGTCTTTTAAGCAAAGCAAACATAAAACATATTCATGTTCAAAATGTCTGCTGCTTGGGATATATTTAAAAGTGAAAGGCTTATAAACCTGCACAGGCATTTTGCATATGAGTGTTTGGATAAGCAAGGAGACAGTCAAAAATCAAAAAGAAAAAAAAAGTGAAACACACAAATCATCTCAAGCAGGATGTGTTCCAAATGTAAATATCTCACCCGGACTTCAGTCTCTCTGGGATTTCCATTTAGGTCACACTTAGAGCCATTTACATAGGTCTGGCTGTGGTACCGCTTTAGCCTGTGCTGTTTGGAGGCCTGAGAGAAAAAACACAATGGATGCACCCACGATTGTTTGGTTCATATTGTACAGTCATGCAAATCAGCCACAACATAGAGGCAACTTTACCTTTGCTGTTTCATTGCTCCAATCAAATTCTGACTCATAATAACCCAGGAAGAGAATGTCTCCTTTGATCTCTGTGTCTAAGGACAAAAGAACAAAATTTGTCAAAAACAATAACTGAAAGCCTCTTGTAGGTTAAAAAAAACAAAAACAAAAAACAGAGAAGTGGCCTCTCACCTTCAAGGTGGTATTGTCTGATATGCTGGCCATGGCAGAACTCGTACGTCCACCAGTCCTTCGTCTGCAGGACAGGTATTTCTGTTAGACTTTGACACAGTGCCTAAGCCTGAAACGGTCCCACGCATATATTTGTAAATAGGGCTGCCACAAACTATTATTTTTGCGATTAGTCGACTAATCAGATCATGCATCCATTGGACATACAGCGTACAGCTTATTGCACCAGCATGCATCTGCTCTTATATAACTATCATTAGCTTAAAGCTTTAAGTGTTTAAGGTATGTGCTAACTAAAAATTAAGACAAGATGATAGTTTATTAAATTTTAATGAAATTTGCAGGTTGTTTCGGTGAAGGTTAATAAACTCCTTGCTATCTAAAATATAACAGGACACCGGAGTATATTCTCGAGCATCTCACACTTCTGATAATCAGCTGTCTGCTTGACGTTTATTCAGCTGTGTAAAAACTATAACTTTAATCTCAGCCAAACCGATTTACTCAGGAAAAAATAAAATACTAAAAAAAAGCCAAACAATAACATTTTTAAGTTATCTAAGTGACTTATGTATGTTTAATCTGAGTAGCGAAAGACCGCGGTGGGTTTGAAAATGATTTGCCGGGAGTCCAGTGTTCTCACAGGCTCTAGTGAGCCTTGCCCCGGCTAGCTATCGAGCTAGTGGGTAACAGACGTCTCCGAAAACGCCGGAGCGCTTTTGAAAATATGTGGTGTCTTGATAAACTGAGCAGATATTTGAGGTTTACACAGCTACATTCTCGCCTAAAAATATGTTAAACGTTTATTTTGTGACCCAGAAAGAATAATAAGAGTAATATTAAAACTAACTAGCTGCCGCTATTGTTGGAAACTGAGCTGGGCTGCGCTATGAATTCTGGGAGAGAGCTACTTCTTCGGGGTTTAACGGCAGCTGGCATCCTTGTACATGCAGTGCTGCCATCTTCTGTTTCAGTCCGTTATTACACTCTTAAATACTACTACTTATTCCTGCGTCTTTTGGGATCTTACAAAGCTTCAAACAACGCGTAATCGTGACTAGTCGACTAATCCTGGCAGCCCTATAAATGAGGACTATTTTTCAGGTAGTCTTGTGGTTTAATCAGATGTAACTTTGAAAATCTAAGTCAGACTCCCATGTTGTTTTTAGAGAATATGCTCTTTTCTTCTGGCAGCCCTTCCAAACAAGTCATACTTGTTCAGTCTTTTTCTAACTGTACTGTTGTAAACTTTGGGGTGGCTGTAGCTCAGGTGGCAGAGCAGGTCAGCTACTAATCAGAAGATTGGTGGTTTGATCCCAGGCTGCCTCCTGGCTGCATGCCAAATATCCTTGGGCAAGATACTAACCCCATGTTTGCCTACTGGTGGTGGTCAGAGGGCCCGGTGGCGCCAGTGTCCGGCAGCCTCGCCTCTGTCAGTGCGCCCCAGGGCAGCTGTGGCTACAACGTAGCTTACCATTGCCAGTGTGTGAATGTGTGTGTGAATGGGTGAATGACTGAATGTAGTGTAAAGCGCTTTGGGGTCCTTAGAGACTGAGTAAAGTGCTATACAAATGCAGGCCATTTACCATTTTAACATTTAACATTCTAACTGCGGCCTGTGGAGTTTGAGCTAGTCTCTTGGGTATTTTCCCAGTTTCTCTGAGGACTGCACAGGCTGACCTTGGGTTTTACTGGGACATCAACTCCTGGGAATATTGGCGGCTGTCTCAAATGTTGGGAAAAATTCTTACTGTAGAATGATGCAGTTCATTTTGAAGGCAATAGCTTTATAACTCATCAAGACTGATGGGCAGAAACAACTGATTCTTTGAGATCTTTGGTATTGTTTTTCCTCGTTGGTACTGTGCTAACACACCTGAATGCTCCAGAGCACATGATCAATTAATCAAGCACATTTGATTAACAGCACCAGGCTGTGACTTAACCTCTTTATGCCTATGGAAGCGGAAAGTGTGACAAACTTTCTTTGTCTCATGACTATACAAAAAACACATTGTAAGGAGCAGTGTTGGGGAGTAACGGAATACATGTACCGCCGTTACGTATTTAAAATACAAAATATGAGTAACTGTATTCAGTTACAGTTACCGTTTAAAAAGGTGGTATTCAGAATACAGTTACTTTGTTGAAATAAATGGAATACACTGGGGTACTTTCCTGTTTCATTTTGTCGCGGGTCAGGACTGTTTGGGTTTTGTTTGACAGCTACGTTCTTTTGTTCCAGGCGGCAGCGTTACGGTTGCCATGGTTACAGGGCGACGCTCTCTCTCTCTGCGACTGTGTGTTTCCTGGGTGAGAGAGCGCCTTTTCGTTGTTGTTGTTGTGCTAAGCTAACAGGCAGAATGCTACAAGCATAGCTCTAAAGAATGTAGCATCATGTTCAGTGTAGTCCGTGCTGCAGGGAGAATGGACTGCCATACACGTTATGGGTCTGTGAGCGCGAGGAGGGAGAAAAAGGGAGTGGAAAGGTACGAGTTGTCATCGAGGAAAAACGGGAGCTGGAAGCATGTAAATATAATAATAACCACTGCAGCCAAGAAGAGTGCCTGACGAGCCCAGTTGTAAGTAAGCTATTAAGACTCGACTGTACACTGTGTTCGTGTTTTCCTCCGAAAACAATAAGTTCCGTTGGAGCAGCCTTTCAACGCCTCTCTCTGTCTCTCGCAAGAAAAGTTGACCCACACAACAAAGTAAAGCTATTTTTCGGCTACGAGCCCGCCAGGGACCCCGCCGTATTAGTCAGAGGTCCCTTTACTACAGTTCGGAGTCGCGGACCTTCAGTAATAGTAATAAATCACACAGCAATAGTACATTCACGTTGTTGTAAAAAGCACGATAATATATTAAGTAATCCAAAGTATTCAGAATACGTTACTGTCATTGAGTAACGTAACGGAATACGTTACAGAATACATTTTGGGGCATGTATTCTGTAATCTGTAATGGAATACATTTTAAAAGTAACCTTCCCAACACTGGTAAGGAGATACATGGATAAGATGCACTGTGAGCAAGAAGATAGTGATAAAGTACTTGTGAGCTTTTGGGTAAACCTTAACACATAAGCTGAACAATTGAAAACACAGGTACATTAACAGATGTGTGTCTCTTAGATATACTGCTTTTGTACCCAGTCACTGATGCAGACGAGCAACCTTTAATCCAATGAATACTGAATCAAGAGCCTCCCAGTGTTGTTTTTGGCAAGCTTCTGGGGCATCCATGTGCGTTTTAAAAATGGTTTACTTAAGCTGGCAAATATACACACGCTTTCGGTGTGTTTTGCTCTTGTGTTCTTATTGTTGTATTATTATTGTAGTCACACCACTGTGTAAACAGCTTAAGCATTTCTCTGTTGGATTACACAGATAAGTAGTTAAGGACCAACCTTGAGTAGACATGGGGCATTGTGCATGGGCTTGAGCAGGTCTGGGATATCTGGCCCAGTGTAACCCTCCGAGTCAGGCTCAGTGGCGGGATCCTGATGAAAACGCACAGCCTGTGCTGGAAGTCGACACTCATAGAGCTGTTTGTACTTACTGGACACCATCATAACCTCCTCTGTCTTAGTCTACAAACGTAAGACAGACATGGAAAAGGGGGTGAATTTAATGTTGACACACATGTTCACACATTACCAACGCATCAGGTGAATGCAAACAGATAAAACATGGTTTGCGGCTTTACTTTTAGCTAGTTATAGACATGTGGCAATGAACATAACAGCTGTCACAGCATGCTGTGACGTACTTCACCTGAGAATTACTCGTCTTCATGTAACTCTATAAGATTTATTTTAGCATGTTTTGTGCTTTTATGACATCAGGTCTCACGCTTTGTGAATTATTTGACACTATTAATAGTAAATAAATACCGCTAGCTCATATTTAAGCTAACAAGCTATATCCGTTAGCATTTTCTGACTCACCTGCCCCAGGATGACAGGATCGGGAAGAATCTGAATCCCATATTTCATGTCATTAAGCTCCTCCAAATTCAAGAAGCCCGGGACACAGAGGGGACATGTCAACAAGAAAACGTACAGTCTCTTTAACAACCAAACCAAGGAAGCAGCCATCATTGACTATCGCCTCTTACCCCTGTCTGACAGCAACAACACACAATGCCTGACATGGTAGCAGCGGATTGGTCGAGCTGAAAAGCCCTGCTTTGTCATTGGCCAATTTCCAAGTCAATCAAAGTTTTTCCCGAGTTCTGAGGTGCGTTTGGTTTTCATACCAGCGGAGAGTCAATGAACGGCGTGTTTGTGCTATATTTAGCACGCTAATGAATAACAGCACATCTCCGCTGTCACCGCCTGTCTTGCGATGAAATAGGCTCACACATAAGCAAGAAGACAAGGCGGGCTGTCGCATGGTAAAATGTTTGGTGGGGGGTGTCTTCGTTTGTTTCATTTTGTTTTGATGCAAAGCAGTCCCAAGTAACTGATTTTAAAGGTTTACAATAACAATTAGGTAAAATAATGACAAAACAATAAAACGATTCATATGATACCCAAAAAGTACACACCGAGCTGAGCGAAAAGTGCAGTCAAACTACTGGGTTTAAATATCTGGTGAGGAAAAAATCAAGAGTTCCTTGAAGAAAAAAAGCATTCCTTAACAGAATACCAGAGAGGAGGGGAAGTACAGAGGGTGAGATACTATAAAAGCTGAAAAAGCAGTACACATATTTATCGACTGTGTGCACAGGCGCCCACACACACACCAATCTAAACATGTATGTAGACATAAATCTTATTGTTTGATCATAATTCTCCTTTTTTTTTTTTTTTTTTGAGAAATCGTGCAGTCAGTTCAGTGTTATCCTCTCCTCTATGTCTGTGTGTGTGCGTGCTCAGCTGACTGACCGCTGATGAGTCTGGTGTAGCGGCGATATCGGTGCGCTCACCGCTGCGCTGCAGCCGCTGTTGCTGCAGGGGGAGCATCCGTCCAACAGCCTGCAGTGCTGCGATGCGCGGCAGCTCCTCTCTGCGCCTCTTCCCCCCGCATAATCGTTTTCAAGACCTCCGAGGAACAGATTCGTGAGAGAGGGGCGAGCTCCGTGCAGCAGGAGGTGAAAGAGTCTGTAGTGTGTGCGTCTTAACTGAGGTGAGCTTTGGGGTTATTTGATTTTTTCTACAGTGGGGTGCTGCTCTAAAGGCCCGTGTCCCCGTCTTCGGCAGGGATTTTTTTCTGGGGTTGTTGTTTTTCAGCTCTGACTGAACGTTTGACAGCTTCTTTGATAGACAAAGAGGGGATAGGCGTGAGATTTTTTTTTAAATTTTTGACATTAACATGGTGGTAAAATAACTAAATGCACAGTATGTCTTTATTCTGGAGATGTTTTTCAGCATATTAGAAGTGCTGTTTAAAGATAATTTCGGATGCATGGGTTTTCTTGCGCTCTCACTCAGAATAAGGAGGGCTAATAGGCCTGTGTTTAGCCGGGTATTTATATTCGTGGCTCAAGAGTTGGGAGGTCGCCTTGTAATCGGAAGGTTGCCGGTTCGAGCCCCGGCTTGGACAGTCTCGGTCGTTGTGTCCTTGGGCAAGACACTTCACCCGTTGCCTACTGGTGGTGGTCAGAGGGCCCGGTGGCGCCAGTGTCCGGCAGCCTCGCCTCTGTCAGTGCGCCCCAGGGTGGCTGTGGCTACAATGTAGCTTGCCATCACCAGTGTGTGAATGTGTGTGTGAATGGGTGGATGACTGGATATGTAAAGCGCTTTGGGGTCCTTAGGGACTAGTAAAGCGCTATATAAATACAGGCCATTTATATTCGCTACCTCGGATTTGTGTACACACATTCGCATTATTTTTTTTCCATATTTTCCTCATGTTTCACAGAACGAAGGAAGGTGTGCTAATTTTGTGCTAATTATCCCAAATAGTCCGAAACATGCGAGCAAATCTTTGGTAGGAACCCACGGACTATATGCATGCCCATAGCATGTTCACCGCGGCACTCCCTACCATAGGCTCGTTTTTAGGTTAATGACAACAGCGTGCAGCACACAGCTATGCTATGTTCTGATTGGCTTAGATTATCTGTTATGTCTTAGGGCTGTTCCACTATCGCTGCTAATTATCATTCAGACGGGGAGATCAAATCTGGGAGGCCTGCAGTAATGCAAAGCAATGTTTTGCATTACTGCAGGCATATCTTCACAGATATGCATCATGTCATGTTGTCTTACCTTACAATCTCTGTTGAAATACAGTACTATGCAAAAAGTCGAGACCAACCCTCATTTTTTATATTTTGATTCCAGGAAGCCAGATTTGTAATTATTTAAAAAGTAGACATCCTGAAGGTCTTAAACATTTTTCTTTCAAAGTCGTTGGCTGCTTATTGACCTAGTTTCAGTCTGGTCCTTGTACCTGAGCAATCTCACAGGAATGTTTTTGTTATTGCTGTTTTGTAAGCCACTGATCTATAAACAATTCAAACATAATCAGGGGATGACCTGTGTGGTGTCCACATTTAGTTAATAACTTGGCAAAGAACCAATTCTAAATTGTATTTTTTTTTTTTAACATAATGAAAACTGCAAGAAAACTCTGAGGTATAGCAGATTACCGATTATTCAAGAACTAGACTGAAAGGTACGACAGTGAGTGGCCAAAGCCATCTGTAAGCCATCTGCTGATTTAGAGGAACATTGCTAGTTCTGATCCTATTAATCTTTCCCCTGTATTGATTTAGTTTTTCCCCTCCAGCCCTTTGTAAAATGTGGAGATACAGAAATTCTTTTATTTCTGCCATATAACCTGCATCATTATAATTGCATTAATAACATTCTACAGCATTATTCCATTTAATAATATTTCTCACAGTATTGATATTGCATTAAAGTTGCTTATTGAAGATGTTAATTTAAGGATCCTTTCATTATGTTAACTTTTATTACAGATACAGCCAGGAGTATTTCATACACATTGCATAATATTTGTGCTCATTTAGAGTTATTGCATTAGTCTACAGAAGGTCTTAAGCTTTATGAAGCGCGAGTCTTCACAATCTATTGTGAAAAGGACTAAAGCATAGAAGGATAATTGCATGCATGCTTACAATAGTCAAAGGAGCTTGCAAAGAAAAGCGTCTGGACTTCTTTAAGTTGCTTGAAGACGTTTCACCTCTCATCCGAGAAGCTTCTTCAGTTCTAAGGTCAAATGGTGGAGAGTCCCAGATATAAACTAGTGGGAGTAACCCCCACAGAGGGACAAAAAGGACCCCCTGATGATCCTCTAATCGCCTGAGCCAAGGTGTGAAACTGGGTGTGGGTCCCAATCAGCCAGAGTTTCGGGTGAGTTCATTGTGAAACCTGGATGAGAGTTGAAACGTCTTCAAGCAACTTAAAGAAGTCCAGACGCTTTTCTTTGCAAGCTCCTTTGACTACGATGACCTGGATGACTGAGAACCTTCACAGACATGCTTACAATACATATAATCTAGGAATGTGTCAGGCCTGAGGCCTTAACTCATTTAGCTTCCAATGCATTTTAGCCTACTTGGTAACAGATGACCGGAGTCGACAACCAGCCCTCAGAGACCCTCGAAGGCTTGAGTTATTACCTTGTTTGAAGATGTTTATAGGAATGAGAAGTTCTATGTCTGTTTATAGCCATCTAAAATGTACCATTTACTGTAACTGACGTCTTTAACCTATTTTTACGCCATGGGGGGGCGGATACCTCACTGCTTTAAAAGTGTTTCTCAACATGTATTTTTGTCAGAAGACATATGCTGATGTTTCTCCTGGGTGTTAATAAACTCACCGTTTGATTGCACTTTCCTGGGGCCTCCGTGGTTTGTGACACTGCTCTACATTGATGATTTCGTGACAAAAACTAATTTCCCCCGGCAGCTGTGGTACCATGCAGTCACTTAATGACACTACATGGTCACTTACCTCATGATAATATAAGTTTATATGCACTTCAGGTTTCTTAAGAGTACATTCTGTTATATTATTATTAGTTGTTATCCACTTTTTCAGTCTGTACTCTTTGAGTTGTTTTTTGTTCTTTCCAGATGGAGAAGGCGCTTGCTCATTTCCACGAATGTTTACATGGTTTCTGGAGATGCAGGTGTCAACAGAGGTTTTCCTTTCAATGACTGGATAGAGGCAGTGAGGTATATATTCCTATAAATACTTTTTAAACTGCTAGAAATGAAAGTCTGTCTGCTAAATGGTTACAGAATGTTTAATTTAATGTCTTATCTCCTCCATTTGTGGCAGTGAATTTTGTCATTGTAAGCAAGCCTACACACACACACACACACACACACACACACACCACACACACACACACACACAACAAGAGACAGAGTCTTGATTCCATCACTTCAAAGGTTTTCTACATTATTTCTAACACTAGACTTTTCCTACTCTGGACATAAACAAAGTCGTCATCATTAGATGTAAGCATTTATGTCTTTAACAAGAAGGCTGGATTCCTACTTTGTAGCTGTGTATAATATTTACGTTCCCACAATATGAGCAATCCATTTACAAGAATACCATCTCGCCCACACCCAAGTGCATGCAGAATCAGAAATGGAGTTTTTGTTTCTCACAGCTGGAGGAGAAAGAAGTAATTGTGTGCTGGCAAGTTTCTAGAAGAATTTTCTAGAAGAATCGAGGAGAAAAAATATGGGAGGGAATGAGGGATCGGAAGGCATTCATGATTTCATTATGCTGATCCTTTCAGCAGATATATAGATCTCTTTTAATGGCTCCACTGTGAGTGCAACCACAAAAATGCGAATAATTTTCCATCGATCTGTAGCTGTGGTGACGACTTAGAAAATCTTCTGAGACTATAATTAAACAACTGCGATTAAACAACTTCCTGTGGGCTGTTTTTGGGTTGAGCTGAAGTGGAAGGGTGGTGCAGGGGATACATAACCTTTTAACTTTAGCAAAACCTCACAAAGTTGTCACACAAAACAGAGACTGTTGATTTTGTTCCCGTCACTTAAATCGCATTCCTGTTCGGAAATATCGTCAGAGTATAATTATAGAAACCAGAGCGTCATCCAGCATTCTAATCTCTGACAGGTTCCAGGATGCGGTCCATGAGGAAGACGGTGTTGCTAGTCATCTTGGTGTCTGTGGTGCTAGTACTGGCTCTCCTCCATTCGTGGCCCACTCGGGTTATACCACAGTGGATGTTTGGCAGCGACCAGCGTTTATAGTAGAGAGGCATCTGAAGAGAGGGTCCTGAGTCAGACCATCGGATTGAGCAATATTCCCTTCCATGTAAGGATAATGTGGCGAGGTAATAATGCTATTTTGAACCAAAGCGGACGGACCTGAGCTTAAATCTGATCACACGTGTCTTATAATCTGTCCAGTTTGCTGGCACGTAATGGATGCATATGTGAGGGCGAAAGTGGGGGGTAAACCTACCGTTCGCACAACTCTTGTTCCCGCGGTGTCAGCTCACCGCTGCACACTGCCTTCGAGGCTTCAGAGCTGGAGGAGATGAAGAGGAGACGGGCTAAAGAGTACAGCAGCTTTCAGACGAGGTAAGGAGTACTTAAGAGATGTTTCACATTTTTTATCTGTGTGGCTAAAATATTATTATGTGGCCTGATGTGTTGTTTTATTTAAATTAAATAATGATGTAACAAAATGTGTTACTTGAAATAATCCATCTGTCTCAGTGCACGCTACAGGAAATTGTTTTTTAGACTTATCTATCTCTAACATGGAAAATCATCCATGATCTCACATCACTATCTGCTGATCTGCTTCGCTTTGTGGTTTGTTACTACGCGGTTTGAATATACATGCATTAGAACATATATAAACACAGACCTTGCTTTTTGCTTGCTTCCTGTACACAACTGGCAGCCTTCAAACCTCCCCGCATCTCTGTGGATCGTGCAGGAGTTGTGCATTAGTAAGGCTACATAGACGGGTATTTTTGAAAATGCAGCTTTTTCTATTTGTTCGGGCCTTTCGTCCACACGTAAAAGCGTTTTGGATCACTGAAAATAGAGGTTTTTTAAAAACTCAAGTTTTGCGTTTACGTCTGTACAAAGAAAACAGAGATTTAGCCACGCAACGTCAAAGGTGAGCGCCTTTTTTGACGTCAAGCTGTGCGTCACGTTATTGTTTACATGAGATGAATTTTGTACAATGGCAAGTATAGATAAAATACTGTTGCTTTTAATCTTACTATCTGCAGTTTTTACACGCTTACATACACACACACAGTTACTGTCCCTCCATTTAGAAACACAGAGGCATCATAGTGAACATCGACGCGGCTTCTACATGCAACACAGACGCTGTCACAATCCAAATCCCGACGCCATTATTATGAATCACTCAGACTAAATTTTCAGTTTCTTTATTGAATAAACTCTGGCTGAGAGAGCCAGTGAGACAAAATCCACTGAATACTGACTCTAGTTATTAACATTTGAAATGATGAAGGCAATTAAAAAGTAACACAAAATTAGCCACCTTTCCAGAAAAATTTAAACTTTTCAGAAGTACTGAAATTAATTCCTAATACGACAAAACTTGTTTTTATCAAAAGCTTTGCTCTCCAGTAAGAAACGTGAGGTCATTTTAATAATGATATCCGCGGATAATAGTAATTGTGACTGTTATTTGCGAAGAGCTTCCTGCTTTCTGCTTGCTGTGCTTGTTGATGGAAAAAAAATCTCATTTCAGGTCAAAGACCCCTGCAGATCTACTCATTATTGCTGAGGCTAACAGCCCCTTGCAGTATCCAACACAGGGGGTGGAAGTACGACCCCTGAAAACAAGCATCATCCCAGGTACGACTTCAGCGAGTGAGCAACTCAGATATTTTTGAAAGTCTCATGGTTTTATCATTTGAAAGTAGTTAAACTGGCCCCTAAACATTAAAAATTAACCTGAACTAGAGGTGGTTTATATACTGGATATTCTTTGTACCTACATATATTGTAAGGTCACCCCTCTGAAAGGCCTTATTTATCCAGCTGGTGCATACAGGAAATGGACTGAAAATCAATCAGTGTTTGTTTCTCCTTTTCCAGGCTTGGCCTTACATGACCTTCCCAGAGATAATTACTCAGTGAGTGCTCAAAAGTGTCTGTCTTTAAATATTTTAGATGCCTGCAGTCCTCTGACCTTGACCGCTATTCTTTCCATCATATGCAGATAAACATCACTGCCACGCTGGGAACTCTAAATGTGGCCGCGGAGGTAGACGAGGTGAAAATCAAAGGTGATGGCGAGATGCACATGACTCTTTCCAGCCGCCTGCTGCCGAACATGAACCGACAGCTGCAGTTCGTCACCTACACGAACACGCTGTTTCATCCCAGCACGGCAGACACAGGTGAGCCCTCGGAAACAATCCACCGTCTTATCAGCTCTGGACTTTGTTCTTCTGTATTTTTCAGCAAATTCCACAAAGGAGAAAGTAAAGATACAGAAAAAGAATCATCTCACACCCTAATTTGAATCTGTGTTTAAATTTAAAGCAATATGTGGATTTTTTTTCACTCTCGGTCATTAGATGAAAACTCTGATACTTTGATCATGCATATACAGTATATACGAAGGTACAGCAGGAGGTGACTGACATGCATGCTTCCATCTCCCGTTTCTGATAGGTGGCAACTCATACTTTTAGACTCTCCTTTTTCTCCCTCCCTCGTGCTCACAGACACATAACGGGTACAGCAGTCCATTCTCCCTGCTGCACGGACTACACTGCCCATGAGGCTACATTCTTTAGGGCTATGCCTGTAACACTCTGCCTATTGCCTTGATATTAAATCATTTTTGGAGTAAAAATTCAAAAAAATATTTCTTCACGTCATTATGCGGCCCGCAAGTAGGGCCGCGAGATTGAGACACAGGCATTAGAGCCTCTTCATGCGCGTTTTGTTTGGGTTTTCACCGGCGTGGAATTACCAAATATAGAGAGGGCATAGCCTAACATGAAACAGGAAAATACCGCAGTGTAATCCATTTTTTTCAACAAAGTAACTGTAATAGAATACAGTTACTCATATTTTGTATTTTAAATATGCAACGGCGGTACATGTATTCCGTTACTCCCCAGCACTGTCTGTACAACACCAGGATTGTTTTGTTTGTTTGCCATCATCGCATTATCAGACGTGGCTAACCTTCCCGAGTGTCTCCAGCCTTTATACTAAGCTACTCTGTGTACCTTGCTTTTTTTTCCCTTTTCAGTGGCCTCACACCTGCTCTTGTATGGTATTCCTGGCAGAGAAAATTATTTGCAGAGCTGTTTCTCTTGAGCTAGAATTGGGCAACCAAGCAGGATTCAGTCTGATATCAGAGCCTCTTTGTTTCGCACAAAATTAACAATAGTAAGCATGCACAAAACCTGAATGGCTGAAGGCATGTTTGCCCTTGTCTTTTGACTTTCTGCCTGTATAGTATAACCCAGTTTCAAAACAGCTGGGGCACTTTTTAAAATGTAAATAAAAACTGAGTGCAATCGATTTTATTCACAGCAAAACTTAGAAAATACATTGAGTCTTTATAATGAGAGTATGGACCTTTTACAAAAAGGCAGATCAGCATTTTGTCTTCATGACAGAATCATGTCTGTCTTTAATGCACGCGCATCTGAGTGATGTAGGACATTAAATCGAATTTGCCTAACCACAAGTAGGAAAGGCTTTCACAATCTTTCCGCTGAGGATGACAATGTATCTGAACACTTGAACATGACCATAGCTGGACTGGTGCATCAAACCCCGTGTTCCTGTCTCACAAGAAAAAGTAAAACCCACAGTGAAAAACTGTCTTTAAAGCTCTTTTAACAACTTTTTGCCATTTCAACCAACAGAAACAAGACATTGCCTTGTCTTGTCCCTTGCAAAAAGAGATTTATCAAGGTTCTCTGAATCTTTCGATGATATTTTTTTACTGCAGATGACGAGATATTTAAAGTCTTCACAGTTTTACAGTGAGGAACACAATTCTTTCACAATCGGTAGACACTGTTTTATGCAGATTGGTGAACCTCTCCCCTTCTTTACTTCTGAGAAAACTTTTTAAGATGCTTCTTTTTTCCTTAAATGGTCCTCTAGCTATTTCTTTTCTATTTTTAGTAACACTTACTTTTCCAGCATTTCCTGTCTCAATTGGGGACATGTTGCTTCCATCAAATTTAAACTGAACTAATATTTTCCTTAAACTGGCCGTTTAAACACTGGATATGCTTTAATACAGTGATCCCCAACCTCCAATGTCAAACAATATTTTCACGAACTGGCCTTTAAGGTGTCGCGGATAAATACAACAAAATAAAATGATATGACCAAGACAAAAACCGTGGTAATTTGTAAATATGATAATAAATGCGAATTCACTTTGTAATTGTGTAACTTTATTAGCATTTTCCTCCTGAAAATGTGCCAACAACATTGCGAGTGACATCCTCCTCTCTGCCCCTTAATGCTCTCTGGTCACTATGGTAACATTTAAATATTTCTTTCAAAATAAGACACACAACTACAAAGACCCAGGGAAACCGAGTTGACAATAAAAATGCTGAAAACCATAAATTTCACACCTGAGCTTCAACTCTCGCGTCCCAGTACCGAACGACTCGGCCTGGGGGTTAATATCTGTTAATAACATCTGTCTTTACTTGTCATCCCAACCCTGTAGAGTTTTTATGAAAGGTAAATTAGCCGTAGGAGCTAAAAGTGCTTTGTGTTTTGTTTTTTTGTGTTGTTTTTTTTACTGGAATTGTCTATAAAATGCTGTAGAGTTTAGCATTTTAACCTGAGGGTCTGAAAAATTGGTTTTGTACAAAGACATGACATTGTTATGTCTACATGCTTTACGAGAACCAGATGAGAGTGAGGCATTCATAGTTTTATCTTAATGATACTCGTGTTTTTTTTGTGTCGGGGGTCTTTTAGTGCAGCTTGAGACAGAGGGACATCAAGCTGTCTTCAGCATCAAGATCCGACACGGAACAACACCTAAACTGTACAACACTGGATCCAAAGGAGGTACAGCACCGGCATGTTGACGGTGTTTGTAACTAAAGTCAGACGTCCTTTCTGAGTCAAACAGCACTTTCTAAAGTCAGTTTTCCTCCATCAACTCTCTGCAGAGTACAACATCAGCGCCCTCGTGACAATAGCCACAAAAACGTTCCTGCGTTACGATAAGCTTAGAGATCTTATCGACAGCATCAGAAGATACTACCCTACTGTTACCATAGTTATAGCTGATGACAGTGAAAATCCCCAAACCATCTCTGGGCCTTACATCGAACATTACATCATGCCCTTTGGAAAGGTAAGGACACACTGAAGTCTTCTCCCTGCTGTCACTGGTGATGCGATCTCAATCTAAACCTCAGCGTTGCGTCTCTTAGGGTTGGTTTGCCGGCCGAAACCTGGCCGTGTCCCAGGTGACCACGAAGTACGTACTGTGGGTGGATGATGACTTCATCTTCACAGCCAACACCAAGCTGGAGAAGCTTGTAGATGTTTTAGAAAGGACCACTCTGGATCTAGTGAGTAGCAGAAGAATATTTTTTTTCTTTTTCTCAGTTAATATTAAAGTTTTGGGGCTCTTGTAGAGACAGTGTATCTATGTGTGTGAACTAGGTGGGTGGTGCAGTGCGGGAGGCCACGGGGTACACCGCCACCTACCGTCAAACCATCTCCATTGAGCCAGGAGAGGAAGATGGTGACTGTTTACACATGAGGAGAGGATTTCATCACGTCATTGAAGGCTTCCCCAACTGCGTTGTGACTGATGGGGTCATCAACTTCTTTTTAGCTCGCACAGACAAAGTCCAGCAGGTCGGCTTTGACCCACGCCTCACCAGGGTCGCTCATCTGGGTGAGTACAGGGCTTCCTTTCATATCAAAGGAGCAAATTTAGCATCATGCCATCTGTTATTTATTCAGTGTTTTGACTGCCGGATGCAAAAATATGCCAAAATTGAAAAGAAAAAAAAATGTTATCATTATTATTATTTACGCATTTATACACAAGTCTTGAGCCACCATTCTTTTTTTTGTAATTGTCTTGGGAAATATTTCTTCAGGCATTCAGAAGCTCTTTGAAAGTTTTTCTTTCTTTGAGTGTCCAGAACCCAGGCCTCAACATTGTTGAAGCAGTGTGGGATCAGAAAACAGAACAAAAGGCAGCAAACACTCAGCTTTGAATGTCCTTTGAGAAGCCTGAAGAACTATTCCTGAAGGCTGCTTCAAGAAATTATAGGAAAGCTAAAGCTCAGGCTGTGTTTAAGGAGAAAGGTGGTAAAACCAAATATTTACTTTCAAGCTTGTTAGAATTGTACAAACACTGTTTTTGATCACCTATTTCCCATTTGTTCTAGAAAAATATATAGAAATGAGGTGTAACTCAAGACTTTTGCACTTTATCGTATATTCATATTCATTGTTTTTCTATCCTCCTGCAGCACTGAGTCAATTTGTGTGCCATATCAAGTTAATTTAATGTTTCCTTAATCATTTAAGAATAAAAGAGAGATGAATATCTCAGATTAAGGTATTGATAGCAACAATATCTTAGCAATTTAAGAAAAAAGATTCATATCTTATTTTACTTACTGAGACGATAACGTGTGCAAGATAATTTTTGCTAGCAAATTATGCTGTGACATTTTCTTATCAGCACACACCACCATGGAGGAGTCGCAGCTCGGCTTTAATTTACCTACATTAAACTGAATGAAATCTGATTTAAATGGAACATTTAGCTCACGCCACCTTCTCCTCACTTTCATACCTGAAATATTTCATCAATTAAAAGTGTTCCTGACCCACTGAGGGATGTTTACCCCTCTCCCTTTTTTTTCTAGAGTTTTTCATCGATGGCCTCGGCTCTCTCCATGTGGGCTCTTGCGATGATGTCATTGTCAATCACGCGACCAAAATCAAACTACCCTGGGTAAGCCAGTCAGAGAGCGACAAGACCTACGCCAAGTTCCGTTACCCATCAGCCTCCTCTGATGCCACGCACACCAAAAACGGCCTCCTGTACTTCAAGAATCGGTTTCAGTGCTTGACTCATAATTAGCTTCCCCTCTCCTCTTTTTCTCGAAGGTTCCTCCGCTCTCCCCGAGTTGCCAAAGAAGTTCTCCTCCCCCACGCCCTGTCAGATAAAATTTTGGTTTGCCTTCTCTTGAGAACCTTGAAATTATTTTTCCAGCTTCAGCCTTTAGAGCAGTTTTAGCATGTTTTATCTGTCAGTGCACAGCTCTGCAGTGAGCTAAAAAGTCCTCTAGCATCTAGAAGCCCAACAGAAAAATTTAGGCTTCCTTTTTGGTGTGAAGACAGGAGAAAATGAGCTGCAGTGCCCAGTAACATCTCGAGCCATAAAGGAATCTTGCTCATACCCTGCACAAAGACCAGGCTTTGGGAGAACCGAACAGGTAGCAGCTAGTGTAACTTCATTGTCATGCTGTTTTGGGTAGATGTGCATGCATTCTCCTTCGATTTGCACTAGCCGAATATAGAATTGAGCTTGGAACAAGGTCTTTCTGTCAGTGACAATAAACCCTATCAGTTAAGTGACAGAGCTGCAGACTCGGAGCTCCAGTGTGACCTCCTTGCCAATGCCACATGAAGAACGTGTTCCAAGTCTTTTCATTTGTCGCGTGCTGGTACTGACTGGCCGTGCCAAAGGTCTGGATGCTGCTAGCTCTTGGGTGCTTTAATCTGTGTGTGCATTATGGTTTTACTGCCCATTACCCAGAATCCTTTTGTGTCACCCATGGAGAGATAAGTAAGATCTGAGGAGGAGAACCTTTTGGTCTCAGTTCATCAGGTGTTACCTGGTTGCGGGAGCAGCTGTAATCGTCGTCTTCTGCTGTTTGTCTGTTTCCCCAACAAGCATCTGAGGAAAACGAGGCGTTTGAGTGCTCACCACCGGATCTTTACATGTGGCCAAAAGAAACATTGGTTGAACTAAAGTACTTGTAAAATACTCACATCATTATGAAAAGAGGATGGAGAAGGGGGGGGGATGAAGCAAGAATACAGTTTTTATACTGAAACTCCTCTTTGGAGCACTCCTGCATGTCAGAGACTCAAGTGGTGATGCTGTTCTTTTATACCATGGTCTTTAGATGGCACCCTTGTATCACTGTATTTGTTTCCTAAGCAAGTTTTTTAACTTTGTTTTGTTAGCAATAAGGTGCCAGAGATTTATCAACTGTTTTTTTTAATCCCCAAGAGAAATATCGACTTATTTGTAACTATTTTATTTATTAATTTATTAACATTTGTTTGCCTTTTTAGATAGAACAGTGAAGAGAGTCAAGTAAGCAGGGGGTGTCGGGTCAGAAAGCAGCACATCGGAATCGAACCTGATCTGCTCTGAGCTACACCGGCATCTGTTTGTGACTTTTAATTCATTTCTATTTTTCACCAAAATGTGACGTTCGTTCTGTTGATGGAAGAAACTAACAGCAGTGTTCCTGCTGCTTGGTTTGTATGTAGTTGTGTACTGAAGAATTTGTCTCACATTTTAATTTGTAAGTGTTGACAGATGTAGAATTTTTTTTAACAGTGATGTTTATTGTGTGGACACAGAAATCATTTGCTGCCTGCTTCACCCACCCACCCCCACACCCAAAACAAAAAAATATGAGTTGTTTGAGCATTATGAGAGTTTTTACATTCATTTCAAATGTTATAAAAAAATGTGTGTGGGGAAAAAAAACGAAATCTTGTGTTCAATGTTGTGATGTTGGTTCAAAGGATGAAGACGCTGACTTACAATAGATTACAGTCTTTTGATTACAGATTACAGAACTTAATTTATAAGCACATCTTTTATGCTACTGAAGCAAATGAACATGATAGAGGCAAAAACTGTCAAATAATAGCAAGCATGGTTTATATTTGAGACTAAAAGCCTGCGTCTAAAACCAGGTTTTGAATTTAATGACTGAAGTTGTCTGAGAGTGTCGGAGCCTGGAAGCTGAAGGCTCTATCCCTGAGCGTCTGAAACTTGGAGAGAGGAATGTACAGCAACCACATGTCAACACAGGAGGAAGATTTCTCAGGTGGGGCTGGGGGTGTAGAGCTGAAGGAGATCAGAGAGGTACTGAGGGCCATGAACATGAAGGAACATGCAGGTAAGTCTTATTTTTAGCTTCATGTTGCTCGTGCCAGGTTGTGCCCTAATTATTTGTGGCAAAGATTCAACAAGTTGTTAGAAACATTCCTCAGAGATTTTGGTCCACATCAGCGTCACACAGTTGCTGCAGATTTGTCTGCTGCACATCCATGATGAGAATCTGCCGTTCCACCACATCCCGAGTCTGGTCTATTAGATTGAGAGCTGGTGACTGTGGAGGCCATGTGAGTACAGGGAACTCATTGTCATGCTCAAGAAACCAGTCTGAGATAATTTGAGCTTTGTGACGTTGTGCATTATCCTGCTGGAGGCAGTCATCAAAATACCAGTTCGATGTGGTGATAAAGGGTTGAACATGGTCTGCAAGAGTACTCGGATAGGCTGTGGCATTTAAACAATTCTGTGTTGGTATTTAGGGACCCAATCTGTGCCAAGAAAATATCCTCTACACCCTCACACCATCAACAGCAGACTAAACTGTTTATACAAGGCAGCATGGATCTGTGCTTTACTGCTTACCACCAGATTTTGATAGCAAAAGTTCAGTTTAACCCTCGGTTTCCTGTTCTTAGTTGACAGGAGTGATCCTCTGTGTGGTATTCTGCTGCCGTAGCCCAGCTGCTTCAAGGTTCTGCTTCTTCACACCTTGGTTGTAACAAGTGGTTATTTAAGTTACCGTTGCCTTCCTATCAGCTCAACGCAGTCTGGTCAGTTTCACCCAGAAAAACTGCATAATGGATGTTCCCTTAAAATTCCGCCAAGCACAAAAATAAAAAACAAAAGCCTTCGTATTAATTACAAGGTTTCGTCTTCATTTTCAGTAGCAATATTAAGATGTTAAGCAGACAAACATGTAAAAGATGAGGCAGTGTGAGTCTATGCAATGCAAATGAACAACGAGACCACTAGGATGTTGTGTGTCACATAGTCAGATGACTGAAGGACAAATGGCCTCTGTGTGATGCAGAAATTTCAGGCAGTCTTTTGCTTGGAGTACTGAAATTTTTTATGTTCAGAAGTGTAGAGCAGGTGCCAGCAGCACGAGTTTATGCCTTTTCATGATTTTGCTTACTGTATAAAAATTCTGTTTATATGTATGTGTATAGACCCAGCTGCAATTTTTAATATAAAAATATAATAATTAATTAGTTAGACCATATAATTAATCATAATATAAAATATTTGACTTGTAAACTGGTAAATTAAAGAGCTCACATTGTGACTCACTCTTTAATTCATAATGATGAGCATTTCCCTCCACTAGAGGGTGCTAAGCACCATCTGGTTCCCTGCTTTGTAGACCAGAGATCAGATTGTGTGCAGCTTCGATGTTTCGTTTGGATTTTCTTTTTAAATAATCTTATAAAAACAAGACAAAACAACCTGATTATTACACATTTGGGAACATAAATCTTCTGGATAGCGACCAAAGGCATCCATTAAGTTATACACTGCACATTATAATGAGGCTAGGAAGGGGTCCTCTGGCCTGTATTAGGAAAACTAATTCATGGAAAAGACAATAAATGACAGGAAATAGCTGCTGACTTACACTCTGACTGATCGATTGCAGACTGTTGGTTTAAGATGGAAATAATTCATATTTCCCAGCAACTATGCTTTAATGGGTCATTTATATTTAAAATAGACGGGAAACATGGAAGGATAAATGAACTGACCTATCAGCCTTGAGACCTCATAGGCACAAGGGCCAAAGCAAATATCGAGAACAAGTTACTCAATGGGTCCAAATAACAAGAGACACACAACAGTCAGGAGACGCTAAAAGAGACACATGAAGTGAAAAACTAAAAATGATGATAACAAATATCTGAACAACTTCTTTAATTCCACGAGTGTATCAGGACAGCACGAGATTCACCGATATGATCCAACACAAAATTATTTACATTCAAGACGACAATGACGAATGAGCACCTCGGTTTTATCTGTGTTCCCTTTTTCCTCTCTCTGCTTGGTTATGACAAGCTTTGTGTAAGTCCACAAATATGTTTAGTTCAGATAAGACTGACAATGGCAGGGTTAAAACAGGCCACCAGACAGAAAGCACAGCTATTCGCTAATCTCCAGGGACTGCAGGGATACACATAACTCGTGTGGATTGAGATCCTGGACTATAACTGGGATTTACGGTCACTTGGCAATTTCATGGATACAGTTATTTGAGGAGGGATTTAAGATCTCAGTTCTCTGTGGGAATAAAGTGGAATTGGTCTCCTGTGAAAATATTACGCATTATGCAAAGATCCATCAAAGAATTTTCAAAGGAAACAGGAAGAAATGAATACATAAACACCGTGAAGCACAGTCTCTGTGGTGACACAGATATATACACTTCATGTACACACACACATATATATATATATATATATATGTATATATATATATATATCTGGAAACTGGCGGGCACACCCTGAGAGGAAATATATGCCTGCATTTACACCAATCAGCCAAAACATTAAAATAACCTGCTTAGTGAAATGACCTCTTTGGAGAAAGGGTGTCAAACATAAGGCCTGGGGGCCAGAATCTTCCTGACACAGACACCAATCTGGTCTACTGGATAATGTGAAAGAGGGCGTAGTCTCGACTTTTAACTCTATTTTGGTATATTTAACAGCTTTTTCTGCTGATAAGGACTGCCCTCCTGCATTCATGCTACACTAAAGTATTAACAATTAGAAAAAAACAGAATTTTTGTTTGCCCCCATTTTTTTTTTACTCTTAAATGTCTACTCTTAAAACATTTCTTGTTTGTTTGTTTTATAAATTTTGAAATTGCACTTTTTTCTTATATTAAGATATCACAGGCATTAAATGTGTAGATAAACCTAACCCACTTGAAATCAAAGTGGGCTATATGTGCCCCCTCAATGTAAAACAAATTTGGCATCCCAGCTTTGGAGGCATGGATGCAGGTTCACTGAGTCTGTGGAAAACTTTGTGTTCTGTGGAATGGACATGTTGCCTGTGGACGGGGCTTTCTCGTGCCTTCGTGCAGATCCTCAGTCAGAATGGGTAAAGTTTGGAGGCCAAGTCAACAAATCTGACTTTACGTCCAGTTTTTGCAGTGTGTATTGTGCACTGTCCAGCTGGAAGAGGCTGCTTCGCTAATAAGGTGGAAGAAACATCCAGATGAATGGCAGCACCTAAGGCTTCGCAGCAGGTTTTTGCATTGCAAGAGATGATCGGAATTGTTCGGTTCATCTTGTTTTTAATGTTATAGCTGATTGGTAATGTATATGCAGATGCACTCAAATGAATACAGTCACACCAAAGTAACTTCACTAGAATAGTCCCCACATCATAAGCCTAAAGGAAATATGAGACAATATGTGAAAACAGAGACGCGCAGACTCGGACAGCTTGTGTACATGAGTGGAACAAAGTGTCCTGGCAGTCAGACCTAGTCGAGGTACTCCAGCTCCAGAAGGGTAAACTGAGTTCATGTGACACTGCAGCGCATTATTGCTCGCTCTCCTTGAGCTGATCCAAGTTATTTAGTTGATGCGCTGAATAAGTCCCAGCGTCCTTAAATGTGATCGTCTGGAAACTGGTGGGCACACCCTGAGAGGAAATAGGCAATTTTTACACTGGCATTTGAAGCAAAGACACACTGCAGATTTTCAAAGGCTTCCTGTTAATCAGGTGATTGATTCTGGCATCAGCGTAATTTAGTACATTTGCAAAATAAGACTGAAAAGGCAAACTTTAAAAATAACACGGAGATAAAAGAATTGTGCTGTTAAGGCTGTAATATTAGCATTTGCAGAATGAAGTGATTTGTTTTCACCACTTGAGGTAAATTTGAGGTAATTTAAACAAAAATTGTTAAATTATTTAATACAGTATGCACAAAAAAAACTATAAACATACATTTTAAAAATAGAAACTTTAATCAATTAAAGTAATACGAGAAGTAAATAAGGCTATGCTTGCATAATAAAAAGCCAGGAAACCCTGCTCAAGTAGAACTCAAAGCAAGCAAGAACAAATAGGGGTTTTTTAGTCATTAGGTAAATCATATGTGAAAAGGTCAGTTGTTGCACCGATTATGAAGGCCCTGTCACCTCTGCTCTTTTAGCCAGGATCTAGGAGAATAGGGCTGC